TAGAGCAAACTGGTTGATGATCGATGGTTTTGATTATAATGCTACAAATTGTTTTATCGAAATTATATAGTTATTGCGATTCGATATTTAAATAAATTTCAATTATTTCCAATAAAATCTAATTACAAAGTTTTTGAAACCATCGGCTCGTGATACATCGGTCTCGGGATGTAATCTGAGGGATTAAAATCGCCACTCTCGATCGAAAATAAATGCGAAATCGACGTCGAGGGGGAAAGAATGGGGAAGGGAAGGTGCACTTTAAATTGGGTCTCTCTCTCTCTTTTTCTCTCTCGTCATTCCGGCAGCTTTAGGAATACACCTATTGGCAAATGCACCTGTACAACCGTGCAAGTTTCGGCAAAACAATTCGCCAGTGGCTTCCGGCTGCGCTGCGCGCGAAGTTTGCAGATATTTCATTGCATTGGTTTCTACCGTCAGGCCATCGTGCATTGGGGTTAACCGACCTCGTTAATGTTCGTTTAAGCCAGCAAGTATGCGCCTTGTTCCGCTTTTCATAACTTCCTGTCCCTTTCCACTTTGCTTTCTCCGCGTTTGCTTATTGACGATATTAATCTCAGCTGAATTTAGCACGATTAGATGTACGCGGTTGATTTCATTCCAACTTTCGATTTGCATTGCAAATTAGATAATAATTAACTCGATGATAGAATAATATGTGGCATACATTTCATTAAACAAAATCATAATGCGAAATTGAATATTCTGTAATGTGTTGTGCAATTTATATAACATGATGACAAATTATATCATTATGCAAAATTTGGTAAAGTAACTGATCGCATTGGAAGAAAAATGCTCAAAATCGATGCACGTAAAAAGATCAACAAGCTTGAACACGAAGCTGAAAGGCATAACTGGGATGTTGGCCGGAAGACTTTTTCATGTTTCGGTATTAGCGTATAGAGCTCTTGGCAAACTCTCTTTCATCGAACCGCAAAATGACTAAAAAAGTATCAGAGTCTCGTTGATCGAAAATGCACTTTCTTGCGAGTAAAAAAATCAACGTTTTTGCATATTCTAATGCAACGATAAATTAGTAACAATAAAATGCGAATGGTTATTAAAGATACAATCATTTTGTCGTGTTTTTTTTGCATTTTATATTTATTTTATATATTTATATTTATTTTATATTTATTTTTATTTATTTTCTCTTCCTTCTAATATATGTGTATAAGAAAACGCACTTGAAAGGATATGGCGATTTCATTGTTATATAGAACCTGCGCGAGAAATATTTTTTAAACTGGTCCGTACTCAAGACATCAAGATCGATATTGAATCCTTTTAAACGTTTCCTTTAGGATTTAGGGAACTGAATGTGCGAAGCGATATGCGATTATATTAAAGATACAATCATTTTGTCGTGTTTTTTTGCATTTTATATTTATTTTATATTTATATTTATTTTATATTTATTTTTATTTATTTTCTCTTCCTTCTAATATTATGTGTATAAGAAAACGCACTTGGACGGATATGGAGATTTCATTGTTACATAAAGCCTGCGCGAGGAATATTTGTCTCTTTTTTTTTAAACTGGTCCGTACTCAAGGCATATCAAGATCGATGTTGAAGCCTTCTAAACGGTTCCTTTAGGGTTTAGGGAACTGAATGTGCGAAGCGATGTGCGAGAGTTCGATCGTTAATGGACGGTGCATTTGCGAAAGGGATTCGTATCGATTAATATCAAGGCGAAGCGTAGGGAAATCAATAGAATTATTCGTGTCGCATACATTACTTGTGAGTGCTTCGATGGTGAACTTAATTGTATACGGAGGAGAATAATGTACGCCTGTATACGCGCGTGCACACGAATTTGTCCTGGTTCGTATTCGATGGCGAGTGATTAACATACAGTATTGCGCGCAATGAGAGGATAATTCTCGATTGTGCTTTAATATCGATAAACCACGTTATTTGCCTATGTATACGTATATTATTCAATACGCGCTCGCAAAATCAAAGCGCACATTATGTTCTAAATGCGCTGCAAATTATTTTGTTCCGATTCATAAATTAATATTAATTATGCCACACGTCATGCGTATATTATGTATTATTATAATTGGTTTAAATAGATCGTTTACAGTAGATTCTATTACGTTACAACAGAGACCTTTCTATCGTGCCGTTGATTCGGTTAGTCGCTCCAATTATTATTGGCCGATATCGCTACCGGGTTATACTCTGGTTCGGATATATTTGGCATCAAATGTTAGTTGTGGCTGCCAATTAGTATCGATAGTTTGCGTCTCGAGACTGAACGGTCCACTGAACGTTGCCACGTGGCATACGTCCGCGTATTGATCGCGTCACTCATTTTTTATACTCGTTGACGTATCTATACATGACATTGCTGTGCTACGCTAAATCTTACACAAGACTGTCCTTTGTTTTACTTTATAATGTATTTATCGTTAGGAAGATATAGTAAGATTAAACGTGTAATTGTAAAGAAACATGTATATATATCATTTAATGTTTGATAGATCTTGTCTTGATTTTATTCTTATAAGATTATACTTTTTTAATAATCACTCTTCCTATATACAAAATAACTAAATAAATGATGTTTTAACAGATGGTCGGATTATTCAAAGTATTCAAATAATGTGTACATATTTAAATATTTAAAACAATTGACAAAGGAATAATACTGATATACTTAAATTTTTGTAATGAATTTGTGTACGTTAAAATAATACATTATTATCAATATCAATACAATAACTATACGAACACGGCAATTTTCATATATCTATATATATACGTATATTAATAAAATTAAAAGATTTTAACGCAGACGTCGGATTTCCGTTTCACATCACACGCATTGGCCGACGCGCGAGTCTCAAAACGTCATTACACAGTTATATACGCATAAATACGTATATACATACATCATCTACGTACACATACGGCTAGATCCTTCTAATGTAGGACGCAACCGACAAGGCTAAATTTAGGATAAGATGCAGCAGTCGAATCTTGAAGCGTGCCCACGCTTGTTGCTAGCGTGACGACTATCGCGTTGGGGTTTTTTCTTACTCGCACATCACTTCCTCCGCCGTTAGTCGCGAAAATTCTTTGATCTGTCTGCGAAGATTCGCTTTGATGAGTACAAAAAGGGAGCGGCTCATTTTCGTCAGCAGCCGCGACTCGAAAAAAAAATCGGCGAGATCCGTGTTTATGTAATCTTTGAGTGTCACGTGTCATCGAACATCACGTATTATAAGCAAGGCAAATAAATACCAACTGACTTGGCGGATTGCCGAGATGCACTATTGTTATTGTTAATATTTTGGGAATACATGTACATATATACATGCTTAATTTTTTAGTGACATACTTAATATATCAGTGGCGCATACCACTCTCTCTCTATATTTATCGATAAATGACGTTCATTTTAACTAGCGTTTATATACGCATATGAATATAGCTTTTCGAATGTAAAGTATTACATTTTGTGTGTGCTAACATTCTTTTCAGAGTGATTTGTCAAACTGACTACCATTTGTTACGGTTGATGATCTGGATCGTTACTCTATCTGGCTCGAGTTTCTCGTAACTTCTCGCATATATAATATATACAATTGTAAATATACTTTTTATTTTTAATTATTATTTCGCGTAATGAATTGTTTGTTCGCGCTTGGAAAGTGTCAATAGCGCGCTGTATTTAATCTCGTGTAAATTTTACAATGCAAAATTTTTTGGCGACGAATTAATTTTGTAATTCAAAAAGCACGTATTAATCCACATAGTCTGCGATTTTTGCGACATGTGGGCGCCAGTGATATCTGTCATATGGGTCATTATGTACGTAATGCAACGAAAAATAATGGGAAATCTGGATCACCAGACATCGAGAAATATAAAGGGTAAATAACTTTAGATTGTATTACATATTTTATTGTGTGTGTGTGTGTGTTTAAACTCCATTTCAAAGTTGAGCTTTTATTTGCTCTTTTTTCTTCTCGACTACAATTCTAATATAAACGTAAGAATTAATTGCACTAGATAATTGTGCAAGAAATACATGAAATAAAAATATATACACATAATTCCGTCCCGGTTAGAAATTTTGAATAATTAATTTCTTAAAAATTCTTAATTTGTAGATAATTTATTTTCGCATAGTATTCAATAATAAATCTGACTGATAAAATCGGTCACGATCGGGTGAATAATAGAATCGTGCTTGCTTTGTACGGTGAAACTGAAACCCCTCTTTTGATAATGAAATAGTCATATACCACGTGTGGAACTCGCTGATCGTTTCACAACAGAGATTTACGAGCAGTCCTACAATATGCAGAATTCGGCTGCAATACGAGCATGCGGTGGACGTCGTTATGCGACTTCTGTCTCGATACCTATGCTTGAATGTAATTTACATGATTTAGATGCAAGGTCACGTTAAGCTTTCTGGAATTCGATGTGCAATTTCGAATGTTGTATTACCGGATTAATTGAAAGCTGTCTGGACGCAGGAATGCGCGTTAATTGTTTCCAGCCATCGATATGGCACGTACATCGAAATTTACCTTGTTTAGTGTCTTTTAAGGGAAATGAAATTTTATCGACAAAAAATTATATTTTTAATTATCTTATTATTTAAAATCTACTACTGTGCGATTAATGTCATTATTTGAAAGAGAAGAAAAAGAGAGAGACAGAGTAAAAAGTGTCATTTTCTATTATTTTACACGTAGCTCGAATGAATCTAAGTCAGTGTTACGTAAAATAACATTTGGCAATGTTTCAGATCGGTCAGTTAAGCATACGTTTTTGTCGAAGGTCGAGAAAATTCCGCACAATAGATTCAACAGTTTTAGAATTAAGTGCATGGAATTCTATCGATTTATTTCGAGTTATTTCTCGGATTTTCAAAACAATCTATTGTTTTATAAGGAACTCTTTGTAAATAAAATAGAAAGATATAGTAAATAAATTCGGCAAGTAGATAGTAGATTGCAAATAATTTTTTATTTTAAAAATGAAGAAATAATTCACGTCACGTCAGAAAATGTTTTAATCATTGTTATGCATAACGTTAATTTTACGTTCTTTTTTTCTTGCGGCTCGATTTATCGCAGTTCTTTTAATTCTCACATCAGCCTCGAATATTTCAAAAAATTTATTAATTCCGAAATGGAAATTAGGAAAACCAGGAATAGACGAAGTTTAGGTAATGAAGGCAGAAGCGACGAGCAGCATAACCTTCGTTAATTGAATAACGCTGTGCTCTCGCGTATCTAGAAAAGTGCCTTAGACGTGTTACCCTCCTTCGCTCTCCTGTGTTTCCTTGCTCATCTTCATTACCTTCCCGTTTCTCGTTCTCATCTTGGATTCCTTCCCTTCCGTTTCTCTCATCTTCGTAACGTAACGAGACGAGGAATTGTCGGTACATCTGTTTAACGGAATACGAATGAGCTCTCGCTGTCGAGAAATAATTTTCATACGGCGTCAAGTCGATTTGCAGTTGAATATGGATTGGCGAAGTATGACGGAACGTTAATTAACAGCAGCGAAATATACTTCCTGTTTACTATCTTGGCATTCTTGAATCTACATAATTGATGTTATACATGAAATTAATGAATTCATAAAATGAAAGAGGCAAAGATGTCAGACACACACAATTGGGTCGGCAACATAATTCTCTGTACCTGAGACTTAGAATTATTTGGCGAGTTGCTTTATTTTTGCAATCACATTATTCATTAAGAATAAAAACGGAGCGTTAATCGCGCGAATCCAGATAGGATTCCGCGCGCAATTTGACTTCGACATGCGCCGGGTCAGACGGTACTCACAATCAGAGTTCACGTGTTTATCACAAGTCCGCGAGAGACAGATCGAACAGCTGGCGCCTTCGCGCCGCGTCGCCTACCTTGCCGTCTGTCTCCGAAATTTGCCACGGGGGTTACCCAGACATGACGTACATGCACGCTATTTTGGTCGGCTCGTGACGTCGTCCTCGGGACATCCAGAAATAAACCCGAAGATGTAACCACTCTTCTCTGTCTTTTCGATTATCTTCCGTTTCTACCTTCTTGTCCGAGCGAGATGCCATCCAACGATTATCGCGTTACGGAGTACATCAATAATTCAGTTTTCCAAATTTCTATTTTACGTTAATAAACAAATTAGTACAGAGTTTCGGAACATACTTTGTGGAAAATAAAATCGAAATTGGGTCAAAAGTTTACAAGTCTTCAACGTTACATCTTTAATGATCTTCGCCGTATATCAATTTCGCTTCTTCCGAATTGATCGAGAGGCTCTGCGATTACTACGTAGATTTCGTAACGACGAGCACCAGAAGAGCAAAGCACGACAAGAAAGATCTCTGACGATCTTATCTTAGGATGTTTTCAAGGCCTTTTATTCCCGCTGTCGTAAAATCGCATTATGCTCCCCAATAGCGGACGGGCGTTGCCGATCGATTTACCCGATTGAGAAAGGGGAAAAAGTTCACTGTAGCGCGATAAATCTTGGTCGTCTATTTTCTACTCTCGTGTAGTCGTTTTTCTCTTAGTTTCGCGGTTAGTAGTTCGAGATCCAATTGAGCACACTTTCACTCTCCCTTTCGTTTTATTTATTACGATAAATATCTATTTTCTTTTTTGTAACTTTGAGATGATAGATTTCTGATTGTGCTTAATTTCATTGATTAAGACAAACTATAATAATGTAATGCATCGAGTTCGACAATATCTTTAAAGAAGAAATTTTCGTTTCTTCTAATATCACTAGGAAATATATTATCGGCCAAAAGAATGAAGTAAATAAAGAGCTTTCTTTAGGCGACTGTTTGAGTGCATACTAGATCCGAAGAATGTTACGACTACGGGCACAAATAAGAAAAATTTAATTAGCGCTCTACTATTCCGCTTTTCTCTTCTCTTGGATAATGAAGTAACGCAGCAAGCTGGCCACTTGCGGGTACCGGAAGAATGGGTACAGGTAGGGCCGGAAAATGGTTGGAAGAACGGTGGCCGTTGGTACACGCTGCGACTTTGCTTTATTTTCCTTTTTCCTCAAAGTGGATCTCGCTCCCGAGAACGACGAACGCTTTTTCGCGGCTGGCTGCATCAAGCTGGCTTCTTCTTCCTCTTCTTTACCTTTCTTTCGCTCTGATCCTGCCTTTCCCCGGTGCCCTTTCTTCTTCTTCTTCCCTTTATTGCGTTTTATGTCTCCCTATCTCTCCAAGGTACTCGACATAAATATATTTCCGTACGGCAAACGGTGTCTTTAAACTTTGCGACCCGCATTCCACGCGCATTTATCCTTCGTACAAACGCGAGTGAGTTTCTTATCCGTTCAAATATTTTTTGCATACTTCTGTAACGATTGTAAGTGCATCAGTAAGTTAAAAACGAGAGTGAGATCGAGTTTGATATTCACTTTTTTTTTTATCTTTTTCTAACAGAAATTGTAAATATAACACAAAATAAATTAAATTTACGATTAATTCGACAATGATATCAAGTCGAAATTATTATATTATATATATTTTTATAAATTATTTTCTCTTACATATAAATTATTTTTTTTTACATAGACTGCAAAATAAAATGCAGAATGTTGATAAATAAAACAAATATATATATATATATGTACATGTATTTTTATTTTTAAAAAGTATTAGATTGATGAAAACTTTTTTTATGTGACTCTGAAACTGATAAAACAAAAAATGCAAACTTTTTGATTAATCCAATAAATTGAATTTTCTTTTCAAATATGAATATCGTACTTTTATTGTATTTTCTGGAACGATTCTGAATCGAATTGTTTATAAAGCAGCAGCTTATATATGTATAATGCTGATTTATCACAATTTTGATGATAGCAGGTCGCTTTTATGATAATGCTCATGATTTCCATGGATTTTATAATCAGTTTTTAGAATTTTAAATTTTATGCTCTTTTTATTTCGAAAAAATTTTTGAAATTTAATATCATAAGTCAAATTGTACAAAACAAATCTAAGAAATTCGTTGCATCAACTAACTCAGCACAAAAACAATTATGTGCAAAATTAGATCTTTAAAGTTTCATGAATTCTTAATTAAAATATGAGCTTAATTATATATATATATATATATATATATATATATATAATTAAGCTCATATTTTAATTAAGAATTCATGAAACTTTAAAGATGTAATGTAGTATATATTTTTAAAAGGAGTAAAATTCTGAAAAATATGAAAATTAAACTTTATATATATATAATTTCAATCTAAAACTGATTCACAATTAATTTTATCCGTCAACTTTTTTCATGCAAGATTACTTGTCCATGTATTTCATGTTAAATAAAAAAGTTTCTAAAAAGTATTGTGTGAAATTCAGGAACTATAATTCGTTTGTCTGAAATAAGCAGCTGATGTATAAAGAGATTTACATTTTATACTTTCATAAATATAAAAATATAGGTCAAGGTTGTAGACAGAACCAATCTCACGTGCCGTTTACTTTTTTGTGACATTTACACAGATGATTATTATCATCTCTTTCGTGACTGCATATACATAAAATTTGATATTAGGTACTTTATATGCATATAAACGTTATTTTATGTGATTTTTACATTTTTGGTTATATATACACATTTTTATTATATAATAAATTATTCGCGATATATTGTTTTTAGAATTATGTTATAAAAGTTTTTCTACTATAAAAATATGTATCTGTATAACGTAGCGTGCGAAAAAATTACAGTTTTTTAAAATCATAAATTTAGACGACAGCTTTTTTAAAATTATGGGTAATAAATAAAAATTGAAAAAGTCGTTTAATCGACCTTTTTTTCTTTGGTCTCCATGAGAAAATCGAGAAAGGAGGAGATGATTACGTAGCACTAGGATATAATGTCGTTTCTCCGTGACGTCATGGTTCAATGAGGTAGCTACGTAACCTCAGAGAACGTAAAACTAGGTCAGAGATGCAAGCAGAGAGCGTCAAGTCTGCAGTTACGTCGTTATCCTATTTTCTGTTTTTATTTGATAACTTATTTTAAAAGAGATAAAATCTTTTTTTTTCTCGTATCGCTTAATCGATGTTGTAAAAATGTTTGATGCATTATTAAAATTATAATTTATTATGAGATACATTTCTAACAAATATTTTATTGATGATTACAGGTGAGTCCAATTGCTTTGTCGACTACGAGGAAACTCCTGTAACTATGGGCTTCACGCATCGTCCAGCCCGAAAAAATGCAGGTATGATAGCGTATTTCACTTGAAAGGTATCATTTGTTTCGTATAAAATTTATATTTATTGCTGCTTGAATCTAACCAATTACTTCCATAGTCTATTTGTTACACGTGTTTTGATATACATATATGTATTGTAATAATACATATATATGATATGTATATTATTTAGCTGAGAAACAAATCATAAGACATGTTATTTGACAAATATATTTTGTCGTACATTTCATATTTTATCGCGACGAAATTGCTTATACGGGAAAAGTGGAATCACAAATTTTCAAGATATATAATAAAACTAAAGTATAATATAAATTTGAAAATATAATAATTATAATAAATCGTAGTTTTTTGCTCCTTGATTGACCTATTTTATAACTGTTGCAACGCATGTTTGTAAAGCTCGCGACTGGTCAAGCTTTACTATTTTTCATGACAATGAAACTACAACGTGCTTGCATACCATCGAAAGGATACGCTGTCGCACAGGTAATAGCGCCATTAAATTTCAGTGCAGTTGCATTGTATGACTCCTGCATTTTTTGCTTTATTGCTTGAACTTTTATTCATATTACATCCGAGTATACATTTTTTTAGTTTTCTACATTTATAATGATGTCTTGTTGTTTATTACTTAAAATTTGTGTAGGTTTTAAAATTTTATCTCATGCAAATAACTGTTTAAAAAATATTATAAAACCTTTTTTTAAGATTCTATTTATTTCTTGAGAGAGATTTTTATAAGATATTTTTAAAGTTACTTTTTATAAGAAAATTGATTAATTAAATATATCAATAGAGGGGACCTTGTTTTTATATTTACCGAAACGAAGTGCAGCAAAAGTTACATTCATTGTTTTCTTTTGAGCATCATTGTTGCTCAAACGTAGCGTCGTATTTTATGTTTTTTAGTTAAAACGAAGCATGTCTTTCGTTATTCTTTGACTCTCGCGGAATGGAGTGAGAGATACATATTGTACGACAGCTGCAACCGAGGCACCCGCTGAGATTTCGCTTCGTCGGAGAACAACGGCAACGTTGTCTTTCTTATGATGGAACGGAGGCACGAAGGGAAACTCGAATGGTTATTGAAGGAAATAGGTCGCCGAAAGAAAATTGCAGATTGTCACGTGAACCATTTCTCATGCTTTGATTCTTTGTCGAGGCTCCTTGAAACACGAATCTAGCAACAAGAATGCATTGGGAGTTTGAATTTTTCGATTTTGCCAAGAATATTGACTTATATCTGTTATTATTCATTCAATAACTTACGTGATGAAGGTAAACAAATTTGATAAGAAAAGCAAGTTTATTACATATTCCCTTCGTATCTCTTTCTCTCCTCCTTGATAATTAAAATTTTAACTACTTGCGAAATATATTCAAACGTACGTGGCTGCGCGTTTGGTGCCTCCCGCGAATAATTTTATCTTAAACTTTAAACTCTTACGTCACTGATTGAGGCAACTAATTCTCGCGTAGCTAAACTGCGGCGAGGCGGAGAAAACGCGCAGGAAGGCGTATCGTTAAGTTAAATACGTACGTAGAAAGGAACCGCAATTGCTTTTCCGACGAATGATTTTCATGAATATTCATTTCCGCATCCTCTTATAAGCGTCGTAAACACGGTTAACGTTCCTACGCAAAA